AATTACAGTTATAGCGCATCAAAGTTTTGGAGTAGGGGCTCGTGACGTCACTTTTAAGTGAAAATTGTACCAAAACATGACGTCACGCGACTTTTCAAATCAATATATCTCTGCAATTTTTATATTATGTGAAAAAAGAAAAAATACGTGTCCAATACTTTTTGATAATCTACCTGATAAACGAAGAAAAAAAAATAGTCATCATCCCTGTTGGGATAGTCCGGTGTCCTGGATTATGGTTATTTATTTTTACGGCGGTACCGTTAACCGGAATTCTGTTAAATAAATACTTACCTTCCTGGTACAATTAATTAACTGTAACAAGGAACAAATAAAATTTCGTTTGTTCAGGTAACTGAACAACGGTATAAATATGTTTCTACTGTACCACCGAAAAATATATTCTTAGTTATAAATATTTTAATCACAATTTTAAACAGCAGACTTGAAATAAAACAGGAAAACAATAAAATCTACTTCATAAAATGGAATAAATTCAACGGTTTAAATTTGTATGGAGGGTGATAGTGAGCCTTCAGCAGTGCATTGCCCGTAGTACAGTTGGAAAGTCTTGTTGACTGGACCATGGCTTATTTTCAATATATTCGCTCAAAAAATGCGTTTACGGTGGTTGTATACATTGTTGAAAAGTTCAAAATTACTGGCCATACGACGGAGCGTGCGGTAAACATTTTACCGCACGCTCCGTCGTATTGCCAGTAATTTTATTAAATTTTAATAAAATCAAACAATTTTAATAAAATGGTCAAACGAGAGGGTTCAAATTTGTATGGAGGGTAATACTGAGTCTTAGGCAGACTCCAAATTTGTATGACATGTAGTGCAATTTTCTTGTCAAAATCTAGAATAATTACATAATAGAGGTCATGACGGGGTACAGTAAACGAAATTCTATTTAGTCCGTCAGTTAGATGATCAAAAAATAATGGACACGTATTTTTTCTTTGGGCAATCAACCAAAAAATGACAATTATAGCGCGTCAAAGTTTGGGAGTAGGGGCTCGTGACGTCACTCTTGAGTGAAAATTGTACTTGTTTAATTTTAAAACGTGACGTCATGCGAATTTTCAAATCAATATATCTCTGCAATGTTTATATTATGTGAAAAAAGAAAAAATACGTGTCTAATACTTTTTGATAATCTACCTTATAAAAGAAGAAAAAAAAATGTCATCATCCCTATTATTGATTGGTAAAAGGGCAAGTTGTTTATTTAACTACTATTTGTTGCCAAAACATCACATATATACATATATACAATTAAGCATATAATATAGGTATCTAGTACAGAGCTAATGTTTCTGTTCATCACCCATTACATTATAAGGTGGGTATTATACTTTAAGAACAATCAATCAATCAGAAATTGGTATAAAATTATCACGATTTTACGAATATAGTTATGGACTGATTGACATTTGACATAGTGATTTAGTTGACGTCATAAGCTGCCACGGACTAAAAATATGACGTTACTTATGACAGGGTGGCCAGCATATTTACAAAATGGTTAACTATCTGAACACTATTTAAAATTGATGGGGGATAAATAAAAATATATTAATATATATGTTCATTTTTAACATAAAACAAAGTGATTTAATGTTCATCTCTGCTGGAAACGAGACTTTCACATTCGCTTTTTTGTTCATGAACAATTGCGATCCAATCTAGTAGCTTGACTTAATCACCCGCAAACTTATACAATAAAAGAAAAAAAAACTTTAATTTGTTAACTTAAGGGTTAGTTTGTTTTTTTTTGTATAATTAATTAAAAAACGAATTCAAAACTTTTTTAACGTTAAGTACAAAAACAATACAAATAATCAAATAGTATTAGTATTAGTCAAGCATTAGTCACCATCAACGTTCGCTTCTGCACTAGTCAAACTATACCTAATCTATGCTCGCAGTACACAAATCAATATCGCTCTCACGTTATAAATAGTTCGCTTTCTATTTCTTCATATGCATATTTGACGTCTTCGCGTCAGCATGAAATTGTTCAAAAGAATAATTGAAACATTATAAGAAAAAAGAAAGAAAGGAAAATTATTTATTGGCCTACAAATTAACAATAACACTTTTTACTAATGTAAAAAAAAAAATTATTTAAATGTAAAGTACGTTAATTCACAGCGACATACAATAGATAGATATTATAAAAAACGAAGTAAAAATAAAAACAACTGAACCTCAATTGTTTGCATTACAGTCACCATCAATATTCGCTTCTGCACTGCTAAATGTAACTTAAAGTATGTCCGAAGCGCACGCAGTTTTATCGCTCTCGTGTTAAAAATAGTTCGCTCACTCTATCTTCACATGCATATTGACTTCTATGCTTCCGTCATCAAATTGATTGAAAAATAATTTAAATATATATAATTAAAGAAGAAATAATGATTTTTTATTGGCCTACAAATTAAAAACACTCTACTTATTAATTTTAAAATTATACGAATTCAAACTATTTTAATGTAAAGTAGAAATAAAGAAGAACTAAACATTAAATGTAGGCATTAAAGTCACCATCAATATTCGCTTCTGCACTAGTATAATGCACATTATCTATGTTCGCAGTGCAAGCATCCTTATCGCTCTAACGTTAAAAATAGATGTTTCTCTCTTTCTTCACATGCATAATTAAAATGTCTGTCATGATTGAAGTCATGAAAATGTTTGAAAAAATAATTGTAATATATATAAGAAACAGAGAAACATTATTTATTTACCTACAAATTAACACCAACACTACTTATTAATATAAAAAATAACTTAAAATAAACGGGTATAGTGCGACAAGGATCTTTGTGAATGTGGCGAAAATAGGAACTAACACGGCCATCTTTGTAAACTTCATATTTTGTATGTCCTTTACTTCAATTACGTAGACAGTGGCGCCCTCCCTTAACTGTCACTCACATTCATTATGATAATTGAGGCACTGTACTTAAAGGCCAATTAGTTCCCTGCTTCAGTATATTCCCTTCAGGTTCGAGTGGTCTAGAGGCTCCAGACGGTGAGGAGACCCCCCCGTGGGTAGATGCCATCCGCCTGGAATACCTCTAGAAGCACTCGCCAATTCTCGGCTTGAGGTCCGCTTAGGATCTCGCCGTCCCCAAACCCGGTGACGCTGTAAAGGTCATTGGCGACCAACAGCATATACACTCAAAAACAGCCTCGACATAAAGCCGCAGCGACACTGTCGACACTGCGGCGCTAATATTCTGGCAGGACCTACAGTTTGAGACTCGATGACACGGGGTGAATTTTTGCAAGCTACTAGCGAACTCGCTGCCTGGTAGCTTGTTAACTCGCCCCGTGTCAGCGAGGCTTTAAGATACTAAAACAAAAGAAAAGTTTACTAAAAAAAAAAAAAAAAAATTAAAAAAAAATCATATTAAAACAACTTCTGATAAAACAAAACGAAACAAAACCAGTTATACATTCCGTAACACATACAGATAAAACTGTTTTAAATGATTTGACTAACATGATATAAATGTATTATTATTATAAAAAATACACAATGATAGAAAAATAGTAAGAATTATAATTAAAGGAAAAATACAAATGCAAAGAGTAAATTAAATATAGGTACCCATTTTTTAAGAAAACTCGTTGTCTGTGTTAAATAACAACTTAGCGTGAGTTGCACCACAGAACTTGTTAAAGTTATATTATACTAAGACTTTTTTATGACATGACATTTAAAGTTAAAGTAAGATGGTGCAACTTGCGCTTAGTCTAAGCACAACAAAATTGCTAAATGATAGTCTACCTCCCTTGTGTATGCAACACAATTTTCATTAAACAACCAACAACAAAACCATAAAGAGAAACCTTGAAGAAAATATATAATGAAAATAAATAAATGAAATATATTAAATTAATAATAAGTGGCAATAGCACTCACAACAATTGACATAGGAGCAAAGCTATTTTGACTATATGCATTGCAGCTCTACACAGCTCGAACAACCCCAATAGCATTTAATGTAATGTGATTTTATGTAATTATTAAACATTTTTTTTTTAATTTCATTTCACCAGCAGCATTGTCTTTATAATGACATCTAAATGCCACAAGATTTTGCTGGCACTGTAAATTTGATGCATGCACACAATTCGCACTTCACTTACAATTTCACAAGTAACATAACAACATCGCATGTGCACTCATAAACCAACATTACGTATATTGTGTTAAAAAGATAAAACAATGCCTTAGATGCGTATCAAAAGTGCACAATTGTTCAAGTACAAATAACAAATGCCTTTGCTTATATTTGCAAATTGTTATCCAGAAAAGGTTAACAATATAACTATAGAGAGAGAAAGAGCGCTGCGGACACACTGACTCTAAAAACAATAAAATTGCTGAGCCCAAACAAGCTGCTAAGCCCGGGGATATAGCATGGAAGTACTCGAAATCACAACTATATCATGTAATTTGCCAAGGGTCCGAAAAAAGAAACAGTTACATTACATAAGGCTTGCTCTCACCAAATTTGCTAAATCTCAACTGACTAAAACTATGTACATTTAATCCATACAATACTGTCAATGTCTTTTTGACATTCTTATAAAAGCTAAATCAAGTCTAAGTTAAATCAAGACTGAGCAAATTGGGTGCAAGTGGGCCTTACCTTAGTTAACTGTTATATCGCCATAAAAAAGTAACAATATATGGTATGCGCGCCTGACCCATCAACTGTACAATTGCTAAGAATAATTATCACATGTCCAGTTAACTGTACTACTCTAAAAAAACAAACAATGGTCCCGTCAACCGGACTGTCCCAACTGTACCACAGGAATTACATGGGGAAAGGGAAGTTATGAATAACTACTTGCATAATATTATTATGTGAAAAATTAAAATATGGGCTGAATATGACAATGAAATAACAATACTTACTGTTGGTGTTATTTGTTAACTTTTATTACTCAAAATAATCATTGATGATTCATACCTTTTCATAGTGCGTTTCAGTGCAGATATATATAAAGTAAGCAGTCAAACAAGCAAGGCAGCCTTCGCAATATGTGCTGCAATCTGCCGATTCTGCCATTTCAAAGTGTTCATTGAGGCGGTCCATTGTGTATTCAAAGGTCTGTCTGTCGATCTGGAAGTTAATCAGAACATCACATCAATTATTGTAACAAACAGAAATTCCAGTATAAGCAAATATCTGTGCATGAAACTGACTTACACTACTACAACTTCATTATAGGTCATACATAGAATATCATGATAATTAAAATGTTTGATAAACCTGATATTGGATTATTAGAGAAATATCAATGTTAGATAATATTATTCAGCTGATTAGTTGTTAATAGTGTATTAGTAACACATAATATTTTGTTGATATTTCTTTTATTGGTCACTAAGGACTTCTTGCTAATAGGAGTCTTCTATTTATACTATGAATACATTTTGAACACAAAATATAACAAAACCCACAGATAAATAAATGATTCATTAAGATCATTGTATAATTAAAAACATTAAAAGTCCTGTTTGTTAATTAGATATTTTAAACTGGTCTCAGTAAAAGATGTAATGTTTCTTATAAACATTTCTTTTTAATACCATCGGTTGCTCAAGACATTTTTTTTTCTCTGTGACTAAGAGATTTATTTATTTTATTTACTTTTATTAGGAAAAAAAAACCTTAAATAAAATATGTAAAAATCAAGTTTAAATTTATTTTGTCATCACAAACATGTACCTGTATTACAGGTCATCAGACTCCCACCACCTCGAATTGCCAAAAATGATTAACAAATGTATTGAATTAAATAATAAGCCTGAAAAGAAAAGAATTGGGGTTGGATTTAGAAACAAATCGCCTGAATTTGAGGCTACTGGATGTGTAAGGGGTTAAAGTAATATCGTTTTTGACTCCCTAAAGTAACTTTGGTTGCCGAAATTGCGTATAAAAATATTAAAACTAAAATTCGTAAAATAAAATTGTAAATGATGGGAACGGAACATAATTTTTATATAAGTTTTGTATAATCATTGTCTTTAAAGCAAAATATTAAACAAATGAAACGAAACACAAGCCGCCGGTTTGGATGTAGATTTTGGCAGATACATTGTGCATCATTCATTCCGTTTTCGAGTTTTCGTGAATGTGCTTCCATGATAAAATGTGTGATATTTTAATAATTTGGCTACGTTTTTCAGTGTGTGACATTCGTGAAGAAAACAGAAGAAGAAAGCGAGCCGAGGCTGAGGCCATCAAGCTGCTGAGCTGAGGCTGTCAAAACGCCATTTTTTTTGAAATAAACCTTTTTTTATGAATGTTAATAAGTATTTCCGGTGACTGGAAATAGTGGAGGGAGATTCAATACCCTTCCCCCCTCCATCGCAAACCCCTAAACAGGCAACTTATTTCTAAATTTTTACCAAGAATTGGTAATTGTGATTCTGGTGGATTATTTATTCAAGAAGAGTGACTGCATAAATAAATAATCCACCTACTGTGGTTACTGGAACCTTGATACAAGAAAAGAGTCAATTATAGTTTGGTCACCATGTGTAAACTTGATTATTTATTAACAACTTCCTTATGACCAAGTATTCTTAGTTAGAAACGGCCGTGTTTACATTAAAAACACAGGTCGGACTAAAAAAAGAACTAGGTCATTGATTCGATTCGATTGTAAAACTAGTAGGTTATCTGAGCACTCAGACTCCCAATTAGTTTTCGTTCAATGCTAACATCGAAATGAACAAAACACAACGCGCAGGCCAACATTTCGTCAACATGTAACATGTTAGGGCACTGATCTATATTTTGTAATCTGTCAAAGTAAGCTATGACATCAATGACATCACATAAACAAACGCCCTAAGGCTGCAGCTTTCACTCACTCTGTCCTCCAATTCTGGAGGGAATCTTGTCTGGAACTTCACTGCCGTGCCATCGGAATAGTCCCTCTGTATAAATATCTTTATCCCTTGTTGTGTAGGCGTTTGTTGGCTACCTGGTGTGTTGGGGCCAGAAGGAATTCGATTGTTGGCCATTGTCAATGTTTAGCACTACTCACTATAGTATTGTCACAAAACACAATACAGTATTATAATAACATAGTTTAGTGATCACAAATTAACATGTAAAAGCGAAACGGAATATTCCCACGATTTCTTTTCTTACGAAAACTGTGACGTGCGTGAGCGTGCGTAAATGACAGCTGACATCCGCCCCACATAGGAGTGAGACGTATTAACGTCAACGTACGCGAACGAGTATAAGTACTTAGAAGTATTAGTCGCGTCGCCTAAAAGACAAAAACGCCAAATAGTAATAAATATATTTAATAACTACAGAATATAACACAACTATCTCACCAAAATAACAATTTAAAAACTATTATGATTATGCCATAACATTAATTAATTACTATTGTCAATAGTTGGCACTGTTTATATTTTTTAGCGCGATTTGTTTTAGTTTGAATTTTTTTAATTTTTATTAGTAATTATTAAAAAAAATACCGATTTGGTATTAAAATGTAGCTAGTAGCTACACACACTTCAACTGTGTATTTAATTTATTTTTGTTATTTCCTACGAAGGTATTACTTCTGAGTCCTGCTAATGCACTCACATTCAATCACTCGCATGTAACTCACTAATTAATTTCTACCCAAAATCTATTGTATCTAATATTTTTATGTTAAAAATGATATTATTTTTTTATTTAATTTTTTCTTAACTTAAAATTTCATAATTAGAAGAGGTTTTCGGAACCACAATAAATAGGAAGACCAGAATAAATATTTAGTAAGTGGCAATTAAGTTTAAATTCTACGTCCTAAAATTATAGATTCTATATTTTTTTTGCTAAATGCGCATCTTATATGAAAATGAAGAACAATAACCTCTAACTTGTCGAATCGCCGCCTAGCTTCGACCAAAACTATGTAAAAATCTGCCGACTCTCCACCAGACGGCAAGTGGATGGTTGGGAACTTCACAAAGTGTATTTTTAATATATTTGACTTGAGCTTCTTGGGTTAGAGCTCAAAATAATATTGAAAAATCAACCATAATTATTAAATTCAAATTTTAGAACTAATTTCGAATATGAAACTTCATGAGCACACAAATGTCAAAACGGTCATTACAGTATGCTAGCGGCACACTATAAATAACGAAATGGTTTTGATTTTTGTTACGGCAAAAATACTCATAAATACTTGTGGAACAGGTTTATGGAATAAGTATTTTAATGTACTCGTATTATTAAATCTCGCGAGTCATAAGCGACTCATCCCTACCGCCCCACATCCGCCCGTCTGTCACCTATAATAGACAATAGAAACGACACCAGAGATGTTGGTTTGGAAACAATGGTGTCGATTCTGATATAACTTTCTAAACTTAAATTTAACAGCAGCGTATCCTTCTCATTCTCTATATAAAATGAAAAGGAGAGACTGATGTTAAATTTAGTTTGAAGTTTAGAGAATCATGCCAGAATCGACACCATTGATGAATAGTGTGGAAGGGATCTTGTCTAGAAATAATATTTTATTAAATGGAAACTTTTAAAATAAAGCTTTAGCTAAAGCTAAAGTACTTTAAAACGTTTGTAAAATACGCGTTTAAATAGATTTAGATTAAATTCACATTATTAGGCATTGATAAATTATTGGTCTCGATTCGCTCGACGCGACTCGATATATCTATGTTATTAGCTATAAAATAGTTATTAGAATAGCTAGAATAGATACCTGCGTATGGCTATTTCGCTATGCTAGGCTACGGATAGACGTGACGTGAGAGTTGACCACGCATACTGTTCGGGAGCTAAGGCCCAAGAACGTTTTTCGACTGCTCCGTAACGTACCGCATTGCTAAAGTTTATATGAAAACTAAGCTCCCCCCCCTCCCTATAGGACGTACGAATAAATTAACTTTTTGAATACAATTTTTTAAGGTGACCATATGTTACGGAGCTGTCAAAACTTCTTGCGTGGGCCTTTTATCCCGAGGCGATTATGTAACGAATGCTATTGGTTGGAGAGTTGGGATATGGAGAGTCTCATACAAAGAATATTTAACGGCTCAAGTAGATTGATACGGTTGATATGTCTGCAACGGCTACCACTTTTTGCATGGTGCGTGCCTAATGGGTGCGTGCGGGCGCGGCTCACTTTTCTGCCGCTTCTTCTTCGCATCTTTAGTTATCTTTGGGACTGGACTCAATTTACTCTTAATTATTCTTAAGTGGGCATGTGAGGTGGCAAACTTTAGAGCAGCGACTCACTAGACAAGGAAGCTCCTTTCAGTTGCAATTTCAGGTTTTGCTTAAGAACTTTCTGCTAACTTCTTGAGCATGAACATAAAATATGCGTCTCAGTAAGGGCATGGTCAGATCAGAAACGTACCTATCTCTAAAATTTAATCAAGGATCTATAAATGTATGATCTAATTGAGGCACGATAATTGTAAATCTTGGCCAACGGATCAGCCTTGCTTTCAACGTGGCAATGCCGCCAGCCTATTGGGCACCATCCCTGACGGCGGCGCTGGGGGTGACTTATTTTTTATTTTGTAAATAAGATGTTATTGACGTGACAACGTCTTAAATTAGGTTGCGGCTGGGAGTCACTTATGAAAAAGTGTAACGCTCGGTAACGTTACGATGAGTTTAAGTTTACATGTACAATGTTTTAGTAAACAAAATATATTTCTATAGTTAAAATTTGTGCAATTCTTATTTTCATTCAATTCCTTGTTAGTATTGTGCAATTTAATTATATTCATATCAATAAATATTCTACCGAGAAAAAGACGTTGTCACGTAAAATCTTCGCCCGTAAAACCGACTTTACAGGCAACCATTTTTTTTATAAGTAGGTTAAGGAAATTTGTATTTAAATATTATTGATTTTCTGTACATACATAATTAAACTTAATAAAAATATTATTGTGACTTTTTTAGGTAGAAATACTAAAAAAATATCCTATAAAGGTATATTTTTATTGATGTGTAACATATTTCCTCTCGCTTTCCTGCAATTTATGGGAGTGATTTCGTGAAATGGGACGGAAGCGTTTAATAGGAAGTCGCGAAAGCGCGCGCTATTTGATTTGATTTTAGAACATAATGTTCAAATGGCTTTATTCCTTTTGTTGTAGGTTTTATTTCTTTTTTTACTAATATAAGGTGAGGTTTCAAATGTTACACATCATACGCGACTACTATAAGGATCGCTCGTTTTTTTAAGCATTTAACTGCTAGATGTTAAAATGTATAGAAAAGAATTATGTTTCCTTATTACTTGGAAGACAAAGGTTTGTACATTCATACATACAGGAACCGTGAATAAATTACACTCATTTTTTGGGCAGTCGTGTAAAAAGTTAAATAATTAATAGCGCCAAGGGAATCAACTGAATAATTCGAATCTCAAGATTCGCCCTTAACAATGATAAAATTTTACAAAACTGATAGTTTTTAGACATTCTTTTATTAAAAAAATATGAATAATAATATAACCGTTGTCTTATATGTTAAATCAATGACACATTAAAAGGGCAAAGAACAAAAAAAAATGCTTGTGTTCCGTTTTCACTTCTGACGTGAACTAATACGATTTATAGTTTCTTAATTCAATTTTTACTTCCTTTGTTTTGATAGAGCTGCATTAAGTTATAATAATTGATTAATCGACAGCGTTTGACGATATCAAACTATTCAGGGCGATTTCCCCAGCACCGTACGTTGAATATTAAGCCGGGGTTACCGGCAGCGTTCACAGGGCTATAAACGACAGATCAGAAACAAAAAAAAAATATAATCAAATGACATGTAGCGTGGATTTCTCTAAAGACTTCTCTACATAAACTTTGCAATAAGTATGAGCCGTTACGCAGGGGTCAGTTTATCTTTTTTTTTTATATAAATAAATATTACCAACACTCACACCAATTAGCCTAGCCCCAAAGTAAGCACTGTAAGACTTGTGTTATGGGATGCTGGGGTAACGTATAGAATACATATATTGTACATATATAAGTATATTTATATAGAAATACATATTAAACATCCATGACTAGAGTACAAATGCTCGTATTCATCACACACATCTGCCCCCACCGGGATTCGAACCCGGGACCTCTCGAGTCGGCGACACCATGAAACCCGGCGTACAAACCACTCGGCCACGGAGGTCGTCTTAATTAACAGTTTATTAGTTTATTTATTTACAGTTTATTTTTTTATTAGTTCTTTATTTAATTATTAACATTATTATTACAAACATTATTATAAATTATAGTTTTGATTATTGTATAAATTTTGTTGTAGAAGACTTTTACCTAGTTCAGGCTATAATATAAGTTCCATATATTTTGTCATATCTATAATTAATTTAATTTATTATTATTATCTTACATCAATTGCCGACTGTGGATACTAGGACAACCACGCAAATAATTAACTGCAATGCAGAAGGTAGTCTCAACTCTCAGAGCGATATTGAGATCTTGAGCGACTGTTTTGTATGAAAACAGTAATAAACTCTAAAGTTTATAGGAATCTATTAATACAAGCCTAAATCCATTAGCTTAAACAATGACCTTTCCCAATAAATAGCAAATGTTATTCTAATCCCGAAAAACCCGATCCTGCCTCTTTTCTCCAATATCTTCGTATTTCCATTCTTAATTTTCTCTCGAAAGTTCTGTGAAACTCGATTATCGACAGTTTTCAAGGTTACTGACATTATTAATTACACTGTAAAAATATTGGTTAACAGTAGAGTCTGTGCGGGAAGAGAATGGGCGTGGCGAAAAACGGAACTAACATTAAGATTTTTATTTGGCAATCAAACCCAGCAATCTGTAAAACGTCAAAGTTTTGTATTGATACGGATTTGTTTGTTGTTGTGATTTCTTGCGGTTTTCTGTATTTAATAATTTCAAAAAGGGGTAAAACCTTGCAAATACGGTAGAAAAGCACTACAGCGCTCTCCAATCTAAATCCCATTCTCTTTCCGCACACTCTAACAAAATTAGGTTCGTTTAACTGTTAAGCCTGTAAAGGCTACGAAACGTCAATAAATAAATAAAGTTTCGTGCATTAACCCGTAAAAACTAGTTTTATTTAGCAATTCTTTTAATTAGGAATAAAGCTACTTTAACAGTCAGGACCCATGTTTGCGAAAATTTTATTCATTCTAGAATATCTAATGGCGGCCACTCACCATCATGTCGCGCCGTACCAAAATCCTTTCGTCAAATG